TGGCCTTGAACTTGTGATGATCTTTCTTTTTTTCTTTTTTCTTTTTTTTTTTTACTCCTAAGGGTTTATTGAGATAGTTTTTTTTCACGTACAAGTTGGAGGCAAAAGGGATGGGGCTTCTAAGCAGGAACCTGAAGGGGGAACCAAGGGCAAAAGGTGCAACCCAAATAAAGAGTGCAATAAATAGAGGCAAAAGTGTGGAGCTGGGACAAGACTGACAGACTATCACACAGTGATAATGTGGGGTGGGCGCCGTTAAAATCCCATTCATTTATATAGATGGACAGCGAGCTAGGGGTCCGGGGCCCACCCCACCCTCTACATCTCAAGGAGGGCCTGTGGCTGGAAGAGTGCCCCAGAGGCATGGAGGCCCTCCCCAGGAAGGCCTGGCCCCAGAGGCTTGGTTAGTGTTGGAAGCAGGAGGAAGGGACTGAGGTCCAAGAGGACAGCCTGGGGCCTACGCAAGAGGGCTGCAGGAAACCCCTCTCAGCACAGCCCTTCATCTGATGGGTGAAGGAGGGGTGGCACTCTAGGGTGGAGCCTGGCAGCTTCTATTGTCTTGGAGAAAAACAGATCCCCAAGGACACCCAGCCCTGGCTGTGCCAACCTCAGGAGACAGCTACATCAGGAGTTAGGGCTGGGGCATGAGCAGAAACCCCAGAGGCCATCCTCAAGGGGTAATTCCTGGGGAAAGGGCCTTTAGCACCACCAGGCTCCAGGAAGATGAAAGAGGCCGAGACTCTGAGCCTCTCAGGAGAGGCTGGGGGCTGCCTCAGCCCCACTGGCCTGGCCCCGCTTCCTGCCACTGTGTAGCCAGGGTGAGGCCAGGTGGAATCGTAGGAAGACCTTGGCTAGGGCGTCAGCACCAGCACTGGCGATAAGTGCCTTGCTGGGATGGCAGGCCACTGCAAAGATGCCCTCCTCATGCTTCTTGCGGTGGGCTGTGATCTCCTGCACACGTCTTGTTGTCTAGGCTCCATAAGCGCAGAGAGCAGTCATGACTTCCTGACATCAAGAACATGCCATTGGGGTCCACGGATAGGCAGGTGACTCCGTCCAGGTGGGCAACCATAGGGTGCATGGATTTGCCGATTGTCCAGGAACCAGATGCCCCTATCGTCGTGGGCAGTGATGGTGATGGGCTGATTGGGGTGACTCACCACCTGGTTGATCTGTGTTGGGCCACTGCTCCCTCGGGACTTCAATGTGAGGAGGGC